TGTATCATGAAACAAAGCAAAATTATAGATTCAAGGGACACCAAATAAATGTATTGTATTTACATGAGCACTGACACTGAGCATTTAGAATATTAATTTCACAAAAGTCATCTAGGCTGTAGTAACTCTATTTAACCCATATCATGTATTGTATCTTGGGCTGAAACAATTCATCGGAATAATCGATTATTAAAATGTCAACAAATTTAGTGATCGATTAATCGTTAACTGGAGTATAGAGACTCTAAAACATGTCTTTAGCTCACAGAGCGATCGACTTAGAGCAGGAATTATACCAAAATTGTAAAAAAAATATATATATATAAACAAAAATGTTTTTGTCTGTCAATATTCTCCATCCCCTCTACTGCTGCAACAAAGCTGTATTGTAAATTATAAACATGTTATTCACATCTAATTGTTGGTAAGGACAAGTAGGTTGGTCCAAAATGTTGGTAGGGACATGTCCCCATGGTCCCTATGCAAACCTACGGCCATGATATATATATATATATATATATATATATATATATATATATATATATACATATATAATTTATCGACGATCAGAGTCTGAGTGATGTTTTATTTTTAAAAATATAAAAAAATGCGCTATTCTCTCCCAATTACATCAGTTGTTGCATCTCTAACATCCTATCTTTGTGAAGCGGGATTTTCTGCGGTTACAGCGACCAAAACAAAGCTACGGAGCAGACTGGACATCAGGAGCACACTTCGTGTGTCATTGTCTCCAATTACGCCTAAATGGGACCGGCTTGTTGTTTTATTTTCATGCTGTTTGTATTTGATTCTATGCCAGTCGTATCATTTTACTTGATCGTATTTAAACCCCCCCCCCCTCGGCCGGTCCGTGAAAATATTGTCTGACATATGGCAGTCCGTGGTGCAAAAAAGGTTGGGGACCGCTAAAGTATTTTTAATGTTTGCAGTAAAAACTGCAAGTACCAGTATATACAATCAAATATTTTTCTACAGTGGGTTTTTAACATTTTTAGTTAATTTAAGTATTTATTAACTTTTTGGCGACAGTAAAAACATGAATAAATAATGATCAGGTCTCGCTCTCTTTTCTTTATACAAAACAATCCAACTTCCTGGCTTTTTTAAAAACCTGTGGACTTCAACCCCTTTATATTTATTTGTTTTTCATATGCAGAAAGCTCTGCAGAAGTGATCACATCTTGCATGTGGGTCGTCTTGGTAGCTTTTCTAATTGGTTGCTCTACATCAAGCTGCAAAAGTTTAGATTTCTGAACTCCACTGCAAATACTCGGACGCTCTGACAATAAGATGCTCGGATGCACCTTTCTCGATTATTGGAATCACGGCAGGACCTCTCAAACGAGAGCCCATAGACTTTGCATGTAAATAAGATTCTTTGACGCCCAAAACGATTTCGGTGTGAACGTACCTTTACTTTCTAACAGAAAGTTCCTTTTCCAGAGACAAAATAAATAATCAAAACAAAACTACATTTTTACCAAATATCTTTTCTCGGGCTAACAAAAGCAAGGATTTGATAAATTTAAATGTCATGAAAAAATTTAGGCTAACATGGCAAAAACCACCAACCCATCTTTAACAGCTGTTGTTTTCTGATTGGACATTGTTTTTTTTTCTTCCCCTTTTTTTTTTTTTTGTTATAGTTTCTGAATGACCCCTTTAAGAACAACTTATTCCCTTTTCCAATGAGTAAAAATTTCTAACCTACTGCACAGAAATGTGATAACACAAGTCTGTTGTATAATTTCTACCCACAAAAGGTTACAGTAGGTATTGCTTTTGGTTTTATCAGGGCATAATCTGAAATATTTCATACTAGTACAGTGATCCAGATTGATATAAGAAACAATATAAATTAATGTAAAGTATAATTAAGTAAGATTATATGTGAAAAAAATTGTTTTTTGGCTGTTTGTTGATTACAAAAATACAAAACTATACAAAATCTGCAACACTTTGGGTGCAAAGGGCATATAATGGCAACATGTGGGTACAAAATGGGTGAGTGATTGAAGAGGCAAACAGAATCATTGTTTATAATTAGGGAGTGAATCTTAAAAGCTCACAAGTACTGAAAAGGGCATTTTAAAAATGGAGTAAAAAAAATGTAATCATTGCATTAGAGAAAGTCTGTGACAGATTGAAGCCACAGGCTATTGCCATTTTGTAGTTAAACTATGATTTTGTCTGGTTTTATGCTAAGCACTTACACTCATAAGCAGCTTGTTCTTCATCTCATCTAATTCTACAGTAACAGAAAAAAATAGCGATTTTACACCAAACTCCTGCTTGAGTCCTCCTTTTATCTGATGAGGACAGAATTAATGTGTAAACACAAGACACATTTTATTAGCAAACTGTCAAAGTAAGTTGTCTTATACTGAAACTATAGTCATGAATGACTAGAAATCTGTTTTTCAAACAAATAAATTTACTGTACTTGCATCCACCGGCAATCTTATGTAATTGTCAACTAAAGGCGGAGTCTAATTAAGTGAAATCTTATTAGAAATATACAGCATCTTTGCAAGAACCAAAATCTTTACTACTGCATACATTATATTAAATTCTTGAAAAAAATGTCTGAACTTAGGTAAAAGCTATTGAGTTACAACAACTATACAGTAACTTGTTCCTTACATATATAATCACATACAGCGCATGTCAATGTAAACTTGAACATATAGCAGAACATATAGGGCATTAACTCACAGAGTTGAGGAGCTCTGCTTGCGGTCTCCAAGAATAACGGAGGCATAGGTCACATTTGGGGGTGTGCACAAGATGGACTCAGACACTGGGGAGTTGGGAAATGGGCTTACAGGGGTACCAGAGCAATCACGGAAAGGGGAGGGAGGCATCAGGGCGACTGAGTCCTCCATCGCTAATTTGACCTCCAACAAGTCCTCGTCGTCGTGAATCTGGGCGTTGTTGTACATGTAGCCCTGAAGAAGACCAAACTGCTCATTGTCCATACCCTCTTCCTCTTCTAACGGGGAGACAGGCTCCTCATCGAATGGGTCGAGATGGACAGGCAGGATCGGTTCCTGCTGGATCAGGTGAGCCTGGTGGTACACTGGCATGCCTGACACAGCCTGAGGCATGCAGACATCATCACCCAGCTCATGAATATCACTGTTGAAGTTACTCAGAACAGTCTCCTCCTGCAGGTGCTCCATGATGCCATGATGAGAGACGATGCTATTTTGCTGGAGATGCTCAGGGGTGTAGAGCTCCATGTCCTCGTCTGTCTCTTTTGTCATGTCACAGGCTGGCATCTGCCCGTGGGCCATCATTGGGGGAGTGGTGGGGGAGCTATAAGTGAGTGGGTCATTTTCATCCTCCTCAGCCACATTATATAAAGTTTTAGTGCTGAGGTCGGAGAATTCCCGGGCAGTGTTTTGGTAGGTATTAGTTAAGGGTTTGATGACAGCCATCTGATTGGAACCTGCTTCCTGTCTCTTCACATGCACTGACAGTCTGTGCCACATATGATCCCCTTTGGGAGGATGTCTTGCACCTGGTTCAGACCATGACACAGACTTTCCATTAGAACTATGAACAAAATAAAGATGGCTGTTACTGTACAGGAACCCGAAAAGGTGAAGAAAAAAAAAGTTCAGAAAATCAAGGTGCTTTAAATGAACTAATGTATCAAATTTATATATATAAATATTCTAGAAATATTTTTTATTCTACGGTTGGTATTTGAGGGTATCTGCAGGTAATAAAAGAAGCAATCAAAAAAGTTCTTACAGCTCAAACCCAAAGCCTACATGCATTCACCATTCACAGGAATGTACATTTTATTTTTTTATTTCATACAATTTTTCCTGTTCAGAATCATCATGAAAAAATGTCTTTTGTTAGACAAAAAACTGGTGCACATGTTAGGATTAAGAATGATTTTTCGCTAATCCACAAAGGCTTTGTGTTAATTACTCACTGATTCTGCCATTTGGTTTAATGATTTAAAAAGCAGCACCTCTAATAACCACCATAATTAAGCATTGCTGCCACCACCATAGTTAAGCATGGTGATGGCAGCAGTATGCAATGTATCCGTTTTGCTGCCAGCAATACTGATGTTTGCAAATAGTGATGAGCATAACGAAGGTTAGATACAATAAAAATTCTAATAGGAGAATTGGGTTAATATCAAAAAAGAAAAATATGAGAACAGTTTTGATCATCATAAATAGTGTGAATTTTCAGCAGCTTTTCAAACCTTTTAATGAATGATGACGTAAGCACAATGTTTTGTCACTCTTTTAGCAATAACTTTTTAGTACAGGGTTGGAACTCCAATTTGGATGTTGAAATGTGTTAATGTTGGAAGGATCCCTCTGGAGTTTTTAGCTATATGGATTTGTTAACATCATGCAGCTGAGGCTGATGATATATGATCACGGCCTGTTTCTCTTCACCTGCCTGCATCCTATTCATGCTTTATTCACTCCACCTGTTTACTAGACTTGATGTACTGCTTTCTGGCTGACAAACAGAGGCAGATTATTGAAAGTCATCATGTGAGTAAATGTCCAGCGTTATTACCCTCCCTGTCTGATCACGATCTCTTTTCTGCCTCTTGGAATTCCCTGTTTAGCTTTAACCACAATATTCCCCTAGCTTCTGATTTCTGCACAAAATCCTTGTTGTTTCGATGCCCTGAAAACCAATTCAAGCCTAAAACAGCTTCTCCTGCCTGTTTCTGGTTCAACAACTTCTAATCAGTTTCTGTTCTCTGAACACCAATAACTGCCATCTCCCCTGGGTTTTTTAAACTTGAAGATTTTCATTTGTGTGCTCTAATTCCGGATGTCTAACCCAAACTCAAGCCAAGCATTGTCTGTCAAAATTTGCCAGTCCCACTGTGACATCTTCCTGCTGTCACCAGCCTGCTCTACAGAGCCACAAATCAGCATCCTTGCTCTTCCATAGATTGTGAAAAGGCTTGTGGCTTTGTGGAACAGAAGCTTTTCCAGAAATTCCTGCGCAGACACTGACCTAACTTTCTTCCTTTGGAGAGTCCTAATCTCACAAGTGGTGGCAAAGTTTGTAGCACTGTAGCCTTGCAGTAAGAGGGTCCTGGGTTTGATTTCTAGCCTTAGATCTTTCTGGGGTTTGCATGTTGTTCCGGTGCATGTGTTGGTTCTCTCTGGGTACTCTGGCTTCCTCCCACAGTCCGAAAACACGACTGTTGGGTTAACTGGCATCTGAATTGTCCTTAGATGTATGTGAATGGTTGTGTGTGTCTGAACATTTTCCAGTCCAATCTTGTCCAAATGTACTTAGCCCCTAGAACCCTACGGACCCACCGGCGGGTCCAGCTGCTACGTGACCTCGTAATTTTAACAAACCCCCAGTATTGATGTAAAAAAACACATTTGGCACAGTTTGGTGACATTTATGGATAAATGTGCCAAAATGGCCTCTCCGCCTAAGAAATTTCTCACTAATACCATTCTAAAATAAATATGATTCATCTGATTGAGTCCAAATTTGGTATATTTTTACACAACATTTAGATTTAAAAGTCTGTACTACTTTTTTGTGCTATAAATAATATTTTGGTAGTGTTTTGCAATGTTTATTTCAAAGAAAATTTTGGCGAGGTTAAAAAAATGCAAAATATTTTGTATTTTGTCCCTAATATTTCAGGCAGGGTCAAAGCTACAATGGTGCTGACACCAGAAAACCATTCTATGACATCTTACCTTTATAGAGGTACCAAAAGTTTCTTCTTAAATCTAATAGCTGTGAGGCTATAAGTGATTTACTTTTGTGTGTTTTTGTCAGGCAGAAATTTATTTATACCCACTGAGGGTGTAAGAGGTTAGCCTGCATGAACTATTGTAGAACCCTGTATTGGGATTGGGATACCAGAGGTGCCATGGGACCCTATGCAAGATATAGATATACAGAGGGAGGGAAAGTAAAACTGGGGTTGGTCATACAATTAAATCAGGAGAAAAAGAAATTGCAGTTTTTGAAAGAATCAGAAATAATTAGTATGTGTCCAGTGCACCATGAGGGAGCTCATGTACTGACTGCATATTTTACAAAACAGCCACAATTGTATAACAACTCTCAGCACTATACTCTTTCTGTTAGGACTCCAGTCTGTGTGGTCTGTGTTTTTGTGTGTTTGTCTTCCTTCCTCCACCATTGATTGACACTGATTCATCTCCTCACACACCTGCAAGGGGTTACCTCGTTAACGGAGTGCTCTTAAGCTGCTGACTGCCACTAACGTGACAACAGCCAGATGCATGTCTAGCTCCACCTAGCTCCACTCACATACATCTGGGACATCGCCGTAGGAACTGCCTTTACTGAAGGCTGGGCCTTATCAAAACTCCTTGCATATGATTGGATAAGCCACTTGTCTGTCATCTTTATCGACTTGCTATTTCAACCACTCACACCGAAGCTAACCCGTGACGCTCCCGGTCGGGAGAAGGGCGAAAACATCGTTTCCACCAACAAAAGCCTTCAAGGTCGTTCTCTGATGTTCTTTTAATGAAACAATATCAGATAGATTGGACAAAACAGAAGAAATAGCAGCATCAATGCTAACGCTTGCTTCCTCAATGCGAGCCGCCATTTTTGTTGGAATCTCACGGTCGCTTCTCCACTACGTCACATCCAGGAAACACCCGCCCTGCGTGATTGGCCAGACCATAAATTTGGTTGGGGAAATCACTTTCAATGAGCGATGTCCCAGATGTATGTGAGTGGAGCTAGGCAGAGCTAGACATGCATCTGGCTGTTGTCAGGTTAGACTGCCACTACCTCGACGCCAGAGTGTTTGCCAGTTTTGGGAAGTCATCCTGCAAATTAGATTTTTGGACCTTCTCTTCCTGGAAGGATCTACTGAGCTTCAAACTGAGCTGGGGATCCAAACCGGAGGTTTGGATCCACTTTCCCCTGAGGAATCGTTTGAGTTTCACACTGAGCAAGGGATTCATCTGCACCACAGTCCGTTCAAGTACCGCAGGAAATCTGAGTGGCACTCGGTTTTCTCTGTTCATCTACAAGCAACCGCATTCTGGGTAACCCTGTCCACCCTCCACCGTATGAGACAAACACATCCTTCACCTACTGGAGTCTATGAGTCCACCTACCTTTCCTCCTCTAAAAGTTCGAGAATCTATTTTCCCGCTGAACCTGAACTAACCGCAGTGTCTTCCCCTCACCTTTCAGTTCCGGTTGAGCAGTGTTTAGAGCAACACTGAATCTCCACAAACTTCTCAATAAACCTGTTAAACCTTTTCCCTGTTCTCACTGGAAATGGTTTCTCTGCATTTCTACTCTGCAATTTCAAGAAATATGTTTCAGTATAATTTAAGAGTCATATTTTTATTCATGTTCAGAAATTGTGAAATTTAACCAGTTTTTTCATTTGTATCATAGGGGGTTTATCTGTTCTTGCGGTGTTTTATAGATACTCTTATTAATAGATATTTAGCATCTTTCCTGCTTTTATACCCTATTCTTTGGTTTTAATCATCAGTTCATATTAGAAATTGTGAGACAAAGCAGAGAGGATTTGTTCAATACCTTTGTTTTATTCTGATATCTTTTTTTAATTCAGTCTCCTTTAATCCCAGCCGGCCTCGTCAGATGGCCGCTCACACTGAGCCTAGTTCTGCTGGTTTTTTCCTGTTAAAAGTGAGTTTCTCCTTTCCACTGTCGCTACAAGCATGCTTGGTGTGAGGGATTGCCTTTGAGTCAATAAGTCGATGCAATCAACTGGTTTTCTTTAAATAGAAAACTCTGAATCAGTTTGACTGGATGATCTGGTTGAACTATACA